GGCCACCTGCTGTAGGGAAGCCACCAGCTGTGCCTTTACAGGGCTCCAGAGGTAACGGCCTATACTGCAGTCCACCAGCGGGATGCCTGTACCTCGTTCCAGTCAATTTATAGGTATTGCTGCTTCTTTTTTTAACTGTATTTGGATTATGTGGCTTTTGTGATTTCACCTGAAATTGTTCAGGTTTAATGGACGGTGGAGTCTGATGTTTGCATGTTTGGAGAATGTCGCTGAATATTGATGTGGAGATATGGGATGGAGATCAACCATGAATGGGCCTGCTAAAAGGAGAACCTTTGTGGATGAAGTGCTTCTCAAGACATTTGGTTTGGAGCTGGAGGATGTCGACTGTGTTCAAGATTTTCCAGGTAAAAAGATCTTTGACTTTGTCTGCTGCTCGGTGTTCAAGAATAGGACAAAAAAAAAAAACATGAGCTTCTAAATGACTTTTTCATTGAGCCTTTATTTGCAAGAGAGCTTAGGCCTCTGATAGTACATCTGTTCAACCCGTATGTTTGGAAGAAGATATTTTTAAAAGATTAGTTGATGTACAAAGAACTGTATGATAGGCTTTTTGTATTATCGGGCAGCCGCTTGCGTGCAGATGTTGTGGAGCAGCGGGACATTTTGTTATAGATTGCACTGCAGAAGCGTGTAGTAGTTGTGGCCCAATAGGTTACTTGGTGTCTGCCTGTGCAGAGGAAATCAAATGTAATTTGTGTGTAAAGACTGTTTGCAGAGGGCAAAAGGTTTTGCAGCTGTAAGCAGTAGGGACATTGGCAGACCACAGTCATGTGAAACTATCTTGTCTGCACATGTTTTTGCAACAGAGTAAAAAAGATGGAGGCACCTGAAGGTTTTTTGAGGGAGTGTGAATGGGTGAAGGACAATTTCTTATCCAGGAAGAATTAAGAGTGTTGAGAAATATAATGGAGTATAAGAGAAATGGAAGAAAGGTTTCAGGTTTGTTGACAAAAGAGGGTCCTCTGGAAAGAGGGAAGAATTTTGCAGGATGAACTGAATAAGTTATATGACGTGTAATGAAAGTCTTCATATAGATATGGAAATAGTTTCAGCTTTAAATACAAAATTAAGGTTCTTTTATTGGGGGGAGGGACAAGGAATATTGTTTCAAGCCTGCTTGGCATTCTTGCAGCAGAATGGAACTTTCTACACCTTCTTTTTCAGTCAAATAAAGCAAAAACAAAGGAGAAGGATGATGGAGGGAGTTCAGAATAAGGACAGTGTTGTGGTCACGGAGAAGGGAATGTTGGAAGCAGCAACTGTTTTCTGCCAGGACCTTTTTTCTAGCAAAAAAGTAGATGAGGAACTGAAGGAGTTTTCTGGAAAACATGATGCAGGTCCAAGAGGAGCACAAAAGAGACTTGAGAAACCTTTTGATTTAGAGGAGCTGAGAGCGGCTCTGGTAGGAATAAATTCAGGTAAAGTGCTGGGTATTGATGGGCTGCCTACAGGATTTTCCAGTTTTCTGGGACGTTCTGGGACCGATTGTTGCAAAACATTGGGGCTTATTCTTCGTAAAAGACAAATGGGTGACCCTGTGTGAAGGTTTATTAACCTTGCCTCTTAAAAAAGGACAGACATCTTACTTGAGAAACTGGAGACCTTGTACAAAGCATTGTCAAGATTATAAGTTAATAGCTAAAGTGTTGGGTTACTGTTTGAAAGAAGTAAGACTTGCAGGGTCAAAGGAAGAAAGATCAGTTGAACTTCACATTTGGTGAGGGATGTGATGCGTGGGCAGAGCATAGGAATATTCCTTTAATGTTGGTAAAATATTTGATGAGGTCTCGCAAGGTTTTTTGTGGTGAGTGATGGAGCGAATGGGGAATGTAACGTTTTATGCGGGCGTTGGTAGAGGAGTGAATGTGTTTGCCTTGGCAGTTCACAAGCATTGACGGTGTACTGGTACCAGGGAGTGGAGGGAGTGTGTAGAGAAGGCATTGTATGCGGATGATGTCGGCTTGCAAAAAAACATTGGAGGTTTTTTGTCTTGCACATCTAGAGCCAAATTGAGTAGAAATAAGTATGGTAAAGTTCTTTGGATTATGGGAAGGACAGATCGATGCACTATTGAGACTGGAGAACTATGAAGGTTCAATATGAGTTCTGGGTGTTCTCTGTGGGTCAAGGAGCAGCTTAATATAATTGGTGATGGAGATTAGGAAAGATGTGGATTAGTTTGGGGTTATGGGAGAATAAGCATTTGTCCTTTGCTGGGAACCTTCTAATATTAAAGGTGGATATCCTACTGATATTGGTTTATTTGGTTGGTGTGTATCCAAGCTTGCAAGATACCATAGGTATTTGATGATTTCCCCACACAAGTTAAATATGAATACAGATCCAGTCATTCAAAATGTGTACTATGCTGCATTAAAACGTGTAAGGCATGGCTGATCACAATGCGGGTTATGATAATAGTATCCGGGATCACCTTGTGAAACCAGCAGGTGGAACTAATAAAGATTAACCTTTCATTGCATACTTGTTAGACTTTTAGTAATGTTAAACTGTATTGCAGCATGTTAATCATTAAACATGAAAAAGTCGGTATATTTTAAAAAAGCAAGATCAGTTGGACAAAAGTACACAACCTTCCAGCTTCATCATAAATTTTATGCCTCAGTCTTTATGGAAGCTATAACTAATTAATAATGAATAACCTTGGACAGGCTGTAAGCTCAAAGTATTACTGTGCTCCACTTTCTTTGTAATTGTCTGTATCTGTTTAACTGTTGTGACACTAAAATACTTTATGTAAAAAAAAAATAACACCACCCTCTTGTTTAACCAGGTTGTTTTGCACAGACTGTTAAACCAGAGGACGAGAGGGCCCCTTTCTTCAAAGCATTTCATTGATCCAATCACATTATTTTCCATTTGTACAAAGTAAGTTTTGATCTCCAATTCACTATGCCGATAATGGTTTCCTGGGGATTGCAAGACAAGGCCCTTTTCCCTCTGGACCCATTGAAATTAATGGATGTGGTCCACTCCCAGTAAATTTCATAAGTCACAAGATTACGGAACACAAGAGTGGTGTAGCAGTCGGCTCTGGCTTTCCCATCTATGCCGATGCACTGCACGAACATCCTCCTCCTTCTCTTGACTGATGGGCAACAGTTGGATATCTGGGATAACTGTATGTTGGATTGGCATCTGTGAATTTTGCTGTGTAGATGGTGCTTCCTGAGGGGAGATGGACAGAGGTGAGAGCGTCAGCCAATTTCTGGGCAGTGGTGAGCAGAGAGGCCGGGATGCAGTGTCCTAAGGTGGTGTGTGCTCTGCTGGGGGCAAAGGGGTTTGTAGATGTGCATTCCGCCAGGTACAGCAGGGTGAGGCACTTATAAGGAGATGAAGGTCTGTTTGGAGACAGCTGACCTAGCATTTTACTGCCTGAACATACAGTCTCTGACTTCTGCATCTTTAACCTCCCAACTATTCCCGGTAATGAGTCATACTGCTCCAACTGCTGCAGAAGAGTCTTCACACAGGTGCTGCTTTTATAGGTTGGCACCCTGGCCAGTGGCCAAGAGCAGAGACTCACCATAATAACAGAATAGAATAACAGAATACATGTAAGAAATAACATCATCCAGTAGTATTCAGCGGTTGTGGACCAGACATCAAAATAAAGCAGTAAGACGGATGAAAACAAGTTTTTTACTGTCCTGGTAGTCTTTGGAGCTCATTTTGCGTGTGGGGTTTTCCTGAAGAACAGGTGGCAAAGAAATATTTCTAATAGAATGTATAAATCAATACAGCTATAATACCTTGTAATATGCACTATAATCGTCTATTTCAGATGAATCCCGCTGTATTTGCTTACCCCTCACACTTTGCAATCCGAGGCAGCTGAAGCTCCATGTCTCTTCCCGTGAAGTCTGTCTCTATACTATGGCTGTTCTAGTGCAGGCTTGCAGATTGTTTTATTTTTGTAATGGGAACTCAACTTACTGTATTCCCTTGGTGTATTTATATTATATTCTCATGTACGAGTAGAATAGATGAACCTTCCAATAAGACGTGTTACTTTCGCCCAAGACTGGCAGGAAACAGTGGAAACTTGCCACACCTGGACTGTTAACTAGATCAACCTTTTTTAGTAGCCTTGCAAATGAGATCACACTGTAGGATATGCACTTGA